TTTGTGATTTCTTTCTGTTAAGTAGTCATTGCTTACTTTTGAGTAACAAAACTCAAAGTTAAAATTAATAATTCATCAATAGAAACATTCTAAACAGTAATCGACCCACGTTCATGTGCCTTGATGACAAAATTAGTCTTGTACTCCAAGGAGTAAATCCTAGTATTATGTCATTCCTCTTCAAATCCCTTACTATCTTCTCATTGCTTTTGGTTTTTTTTGTTTTTGTTTTTGTTTTTGTTTTTCTCCGGTACCAGGAACTGAACTCACGACCTTGCGCTTGCCAGGCAGGTGCTTTGCCGCTGAGCTAAATCCCCAGCCCCCTTCTCATTGCTTTTGAAATGAAACCTGGGCAGTTTATCATTCCTACCCTCACTCACTACCCATGGAGCCCCGGTGGGTTCCTCAAATATGCCAAGACCTTTCCAGCTCTCAAGATCTTGCTTTTTACTGCTCCTTCTGCCTGAAATGCTTTGACTTGACTCATTTGTACTTTTCAGAACTCAGCTAAAATGATATACATTTTCCCTGGTTGCTCCATTTAAAGGAATTCCCTTAGCTGCACTCGTCAGCCTGCTTACTTCCTGTGTAGTTCTACACGGCTATGTTTTGTACCTTTCTCCACAATGTCGGCTCTGTGGCAGCTGTCTTTCTGTCGTGGTCACATGTATGCCCAGGAAACACAGTGTCTAGCTCATAATGGGTATTGAATAAACAACTGAATCCTGCTGTGGTTGCCAGCTTCCCAGGGCACAGGTTACTCATGAAACAGGAATACTTCAGGGCTGCCATGTGTGACTAATAGGATACAGCAGAAGGAATAGTGTAGGACTTTGGAGTCTAGATCATAAAATGCCTTGCAGTCTCTACCTTAGTCCTGTATCACTCATTCCGAGGGGAGCTCACCCTCGGCCACTGGGACAAGGAGCAGCTCTGTGTAGAGAACCCATGCAGAAAGGTCCTGAGGACCCCAGCCAACAGCCAGCTGACCATCCTGCAGAGAGCTGCCTGGGAGATGACTGACCACCCCAGTAGGTCAGCTGAGACTACTGCCCTCACTGATATCTGCCTGAAGCCTCAGGAGAAATCCCGAGCCAGAACTGCCCAACAGAGCAATTCCTACCCCACTGCCTTAGTTACTTTTCTCATTGTTGAGACAAAATATCCTACACCTAAAGTTAAAGGGGAGTTTATTTAGCTCACAGTTTGTAGAAGTTTCAGTCCATAATTGGCTGGCTCCAAGGCAGAGTGGCACATGGCAGAGGCGCAACAGTTCATGGCAGCAGAAGACAGCAAAAGTAACAGGAGAGAGCAAGACAAGCCTCTTTCTCTACCTTTTATTGTAACCAATCTACTTTCCAGGATTAGGGCAGTGCCAGTCCAATCAGTGGACTGATCCAGCAATCGCCCACCCTTAAATCTAGCACTTTTAATCCCAGCATTGCACTACAAATCAATCACACACTCTAGATTCACCCGCCTCTGAAAAAACCCTATGACCACATGAGGCTTTGGGAGAACATCTAGACACAGACCATAACACCCACAGAACCCACGAGGGAAAACCTCATTGTTCAGGTTTTAAACCATTGAGATTTTGAATGACTTGTTACTCAGCATTGGATAACTAATACACATTCAGTCAGTGATTCAACAACTAGAACAAGGAATACTTCAACATAACAGATCTTTGGACTAGGTCAGGCTACAACTTCACTGGGTAGGTGATACCCAGAGCTATTCCTCATTCTTCATTGTGCAGTCTGCACTCTCTAGCACCATATTTTCAATTGTCTACAGATCCCAATTTGAATGCACCTGCCTAAAACTCTTATTTCTCTGGGAGGCCCAGCAATTGTGCAGCATCAAGAGGCTCTGGAGTTACCTTTAATTTTTCTCTCATGAACTTTCTATTAGCACTGTCCTTGCTCACTCCAAATATGCTGCTACGTAAGTCTTCATTTCATTTCCTCTGAAACCTTCCTAGTTCAGCTAAGAGCAAGGGCTTTGGAGGGACATACCTGGGTTTGATCTAGACTGATAACCTACAGGCTACTTGCTTGAGTAGATTCTTCAAGTCTCAAAGACTCAGTTTCCTCTTCTGCTAAGATGGAGGTGATAACAATGCCTGCTTCCTGGGGACAGTGACAACAGGTGGCACAGCGTGTATACACATGTGTGAGTATGTCACTTAGCACAATTCCTGGTGCATGACAGATATTTTAAATTCTAATAACTATCTTACAGGCAGACTTTGATTTTCCATTTTCCAGAGGGTCCAAAAGGACAGGCCAAGTATCTTGTCTAACACCCCTCAGCTAGAATGCTCCAGGCCTGCAGCACTGCGATGCCCAAGACCTGCCCCCGCCTTCCACTCCACATCCGCAACACTGTCCTCATCCACAGGCCCGCCTTCTCCAGCCCATCCGTCTCCAGGCCCAGGTGCTCCATGCTAACTGGATCACCTCCCGGACCGTGCTCCTCTGTGGCACTGACTGTCTGAATTCGACGTCCCCTCAGCTCCTACAGACGGGGCGAGCATGCTCTCCAATCTCCCCTAAACCCTCGCCACCCATCCACTGTCCCCAGTGGCAGCCCCCACCATGCTGTCCTCTCTTCTTCATGGTGCAAGTCTGACCCATCAATGCCCATTCGTGCACACTGCAGTCCTGGCTATAAGGCCTGGGTGACCCCATCTCTCCACTCCTGGTCTTGCCATTCTCTAAGAGGCTGATGCTTCCTGTGTCATCTTCTCAATTGGACTATAAGTTCCTTGCCCTTGAGGTCATGGCCTGGAATTTCTATGTGCCTAGCAGAAAGCTAGAATAATAAGTGGTTCATGTTTACTTAGTTGGCTAGGAGATTCATTGGGCTTATAGATTAGAAATTGTCTTCCAAAATAAGGGAGAACACCCTTCTGTCTGTCTGTCTACCAAGATTTCCTCTTGGCAGAGGAGTTGTGAAGTAGGTCCTGCTTGCTGCCACTTCTGGAAGCCAACCTGGATCCCCTTCTCCAAAGACATTTGCACTCCCCATTGATCTTGAAGGGACGCACAGCTCCTCCAGTTCTGCGGGGCCAGGAGTCTTGTGGACCCTTCCCTACTGCCATCTGCCTCTTTGCAGCCCTTGCTCACGCCAGCAGGAGTAAGAGAGCTCTCACGCACCTTTCTGCCCTAGCCTGTGGCCCTTAACCCACTTCCTCTAGCACAGCCTCGTCAGGGCCCTTCCCTGGCCTCCATTGCAGCTCCGCCTTCCCAAAATGACCCTCTTTCAGCCTCTGCCTCGTCCTCAGCCCTCTGCTCCCTCACTTCTCAGGCAAAACACCTCTGGCATTCAGGACCTGGCTTTGTCTCATTCGCAATTTGTTACCCCAAATCCCTTTGTCAGTCCGGCTCCTATACCAACTTATCTACTGCCACCCTGTCCCTGGCTCGGCTCTCCCAAGCTCTGCCTGGCCCAGCCCAGTTCCCGGTCTTCCTGGTCCTGCTGTCTGCTCTTCCTGGGTCTCAGCCTGGCCACCTCCTCCCTGCCCAGCTCTGGCCCGCAGCTTTTTGCTCTAGGGAGAAGACACAGAGGGCAAGGAGATGTGTGCAGAGAGGAGTGAGATTCCTCTGCACCATTGTTCTCATCTGCTAGTTTCCTTTCTTTCTTTTTAAAGGCTCACTTTAGGGGCTGGGGATATAGCTCAGCGGCGTAAGCACCTGCCTGGCAAGCGCAAGGTCGTGAGTTCGATCCCCAGTACTGGAAAATAAAATAAAATAAAATAAAATAAAATAAAATAAAGGCTCACTTTAAAGACTACCACTTTCTCACACTAAAGAAAACCACTAAATTACTAGTAGTATAAGTGACACTTGGCTGAGACGGAGGCCAAGCAGAGCACACTCAGGAGTGGAGCAACCAGGATCTGAACTCTGCTTCTCTTACTCCTAGCTGTGCGATCTGGGGACAATTAATAAGCGGTCTCTGCAGCTTGGTGTCCGCTAGTGTAAATGGGGAAAATAACAGCATTTACCTCAGCTGCCATGGGGCTAAATAAGCACCTGCCACAATGTAAAAGTCCCCAAAATGCTGGCGTTTGCTCACTTAGAAAGCCTGCCAGTGAAGTGGTTCGTTCAGTGAACTAAAATCCGAGGCACCAGTGACTACAGGAACACGAGCAATGTTACCTCCGTGGCCCTCAGTATCTTCACACGAAGAAATGCTGCGGGGGTACATAGGTCTTTCGTTTTGCTTTGCTTGCTGCAGTACTAGGGACTGACCCCAGAGCTTTCACAGTGAACTATATCCCCAGACCTTTTTTATTTTTTATTTTGAGGCATGGTTTCACTAAGTCATGCATTTGCCTAGGCTGGGTTCCGATTCGTGATCCTTCTGTCTTTGCTTCCCAGAGTGCTGGGATTACAGGCGTGAGTATGCACACCTGGCTATAGAAGTATTTATTTATTCATTTATTTGGTCTTTTTGAGACGAGGTTTTGCTATGTAGTTCAGGTTCACCTTGAACTCACTTTGTAGCCCAGGCTGGCCTCAAGCTCTTGGCAGTCCTCCTGCCTCAGCCTCCCAAGTACTGAGATTCTAGGCTTGTGCCACCACACCTGGTGGCTATAGAAGTTCTAAACCATACCCCCCATGTGTCAAATAATTGTCATAAAGTCATTTAAAATGAAGAATGAGAAAAATATCCTCCACAGCATGTTCATGCATGCTTGACCATATGGTATGATCTGCGGCTCGGTGAGGCGTGCTCACACTCGAGCCTGCTTCCCAAGAAGGACACGCGTGCATTTTCGTGGCTGCAGGTTCACATGCAGGGTGCTGGATGGAGGGGGCAGAAGGAGCCTCAGAGCAGCCCTCTCACCCCTTTCTGCACACATCTCCCTGCCCCCAGCTCCCCTGGCCCCAAACACGCTCCCTGAACTGGCAAGCCCATGGGACAAGCTCATTTGTGGCCCAGACGAGGTTAATTTCAGCAAGTGAAGAGCACTGGATGGGACTTACCGATCTTGTAAAATGGCAGTGAATAGTCTCTTTGGTAAGTGGTTTCCTTATACCATGGTTCAGCAGGCTTTGAACAGCTTCGAAAACAAATGTATTGAACGAGCGTCTGTTGGTCTAATTGAGGTCGATACGGAGGGGTTTTTTTGGATGAAATGGCCGAGTCTATGAGTGGTCTAAGTAGAGATAGAAATACTCTGCTGAGCACCCACTGGAAGAAAAGTGGCCCATTTTCTCATCAACTGCAGTGGCCAGGAGGCTAACAAGACAGGGAGGACAAGATTCCCACTGCCCCAAGGCCACCACTGGTAAAGTCATGATGGAGAGTGAAGGATTTCAGTCCTTCTCCTCCTCCCCAGCCATAGATCACAGGTGTCCTGTGGTCACACCTCCATGCTCTGCCCGTGCCTCCCCTCCAGGTCTCCATGGTGCCTGTGTCCGGCACAATTTTCCTGTGGATCCCGCGCATTCTTTTAGCAAAACCACCACTGCAGTGCATCTTGGTGCTTGACAGACCCCAGATCAGTTACAAACTTCCTGCACGCTGCTCTGATAGGATTCCTCCACAGATAGAAGCAAGATAATGATAAAATACCTCATACAATATGGGAGTATTCATTCACCGGTACAACTTTGGTGGCATGTATTAAGACTTGAACATGTGCAGACCGTTTGTCTCAGCAATTCTAGCAATTAGGGATATCAATAAAAACTTAGCTCTAAGAATGCTTACCAAATTGCTTTTATGAAAATAGAGCATAACCACCTTCATTAAAAAAAAAAATCTAAGGTGATAGATATCTTCTAACTACCCTGACCTGGGTAATCAGAACATTACATGCTATATTGAAATGTCTCCCATAAATATATACAGCTATTATGTCAACTAAAAATAAGAAATATATTTTTTAAAATGTAGAGTTAGTCAATAATATAGACATATATAGAATCACCATGCCACTATTAAAAGCAAAGAGATAGAATTACAACTTTTGAGGTGGAAAAAGTCCATAATATATTATTAATTTTAAACAAAGGTTTGATTAAATTAAAACTTTCTATGATGAATTGTATGGTATGTGAATTACCTTAATAAAGCTGTTACCACCCACAGAAAGAGTTTCATAATGCCATCCCACCCCATTTTGGTATGGATCTGAAAGACTCTGCATGGTTATATCTAGATTATGACCTTATCAGTGATTTTCAATGATTTATTATCAACATTTTCTAAATATTCTCATAAATATGTATATTTTCAAGCTATAAAACAAGTGAGATGAACTGCTATAGATGGGAAAATATTAAACGTTGTCTGAGACTTAGGAACATCGGATTCATCAGGTGGGAAGACAGAGTCTCACACGATGACAGCGCTGTGATGACACCACGCTTATAAAGAGGTGGCTAAACCTGCTCAGTAAAAGTCAATAACATTGGGAGGCTGCGGGACATAACTCTGGTAAAACACTTGCCTACCATGTATGAGGCAAAAGGTTGTATTCCCAGCACACACACACGCTGGGCTGGTGGTATGGCTCCTAAATATAGCAGTTACTTAGCGTGCATGAGGTTATGGGTCCAGTTCCCAGCACACACACACACACACACACACACACACACACACACACACACGCACACACACACGCACACACACACACACAATCAGTAATGTCTGCTTAATTGGGTAAAAACTTGATTGTAATGTGCCTTGTTTAATAAAGAATGTGTTAACAGAAACAGAGGAGCTCTCCCTTAAGTTCAGAAAAAACAGGAATAAGAATGTGACCATGCTGGTGAGATAAGGAACTGCGAGAGATGATGGGTGGGTAGAGAGGGGCACGGGGCTGGGGAGGCCTGGAGAAGCAGCAGGAACTCCCGCTCGTATCTCCATGTTCCTTCTTCATGCTCAACAGCTACTTGCTCTGGTAAGCACCCTGATTGGTGGGTGGGAATTCTCCTTATCCTACAAAATACGCATCTTGGTGGCAATGAGAATATTAGTTCTCCATTGAATGTGTGAATATCCTATTAGTTTGGGCCCTGTGTGACCATCATCGCCTGGTCATTTCTATGCCACTGGTGCTCTGTGTCTGAACCAAGTCCCAGTGACTGCCTCTAGATCTACCCCTCTGCACTGCTAGCCTGCCTCTGCCTTAGGTGTTTCTCAAGAACAAGAATATTCTCCCTCTTCAAGTGAGATATTAGCACCCTTCTACTACCAAAAGTATCAAGCTGGTAGAGGAATACATCTGGACAGGTAAGACATTAGACATCTATCAGGTTATGCCATGATCACAATAATTAAATTTAGGTACTTTAATACAATTCTATTGCTGATCATAAAATTAAGATATGTTCCTTAGCAAAATAATCTGGAAAGTGAAGAAAAAAGATTTAAAATAAAATATAAAATACTAATAATCTCACCACTGATATAGAAAAAAAAGCAAACAACAACAAAAACATTGTTGGAGCTGAAGATATAGATGAGTGGTAGAGATTAGGCTTAGTATGCTTGAGGTCCTAGGTTCCATCCCCCACAGCCAAAACAAAACACATAAAATACAAAAGCAAACAAAATTCTGACACATTTTTAATAATTTGGTATATTTTCTAAACCTTTGTCTATCCATTAAATAGTATTTTTAAACCATTATTAACATCATTAAGATTTTGTCACCCATTTTTCCCCAAATTTAAAGACTTAATCCAAAAATAGGCATTGAGATGAATGCACACTTCTTAGGTGAAGTAGAAATGGCAAATAAATTTATAAAAAAAGTCCAACATCATTGGTCATTGGAGAGATGCAGATTAAAACATGAGATTCCATTATACTCTAGAAAGAATTGCTATTATCAAGAAATCAACTGATGCTGGTGGGGCTGTGGGGAAAAAGGAACCCTTCTCTACTGTTCGTGAGAGTGTAGATTGGTGCAACCACTGTGGAAATCAGTGTGGAGATTCCTCAAAAAGCTAGGTTTGAAGGTTCCATTTGACCCAGAAATTCCCCCTCTGAGTATCTGCCTATCACAGCGATATATGTGCACTATGTTTATAGCAGTGCAGTTTGTAATAGCTAAACCTTGGAAAGAACCAAAATGCCCTTCAACTGAGGAATAGATAAAAAAAAAATGTGTTTTTTAAAAAAATACAAAGGAGTACTACTCAGCCATAAAGAAGGTTAAACTTGAGACATTCCTAGGTAAATGGATGCACCTTGAGACCATACTCTTAAGTGAAATAAATTGGACACACATATGTAAATATTGCATTGTTTCTTTGGTGTGAAGAATTTTTTTCCCATTTATCATGCTAGTTTTGGTGACTTTCTTGGAAATTAAGGTTTAGGAATATGTCTCACCTGGGAGGTGTCTTCACACTATAATCAACATGGAGTCTTGCCAGCTGCCCAGGGTAGTAGCCTTGGAGGTCCTTTCCTTGATGATTAATGAATATGCTAGTGGAGAAAGTAAAGAGGTAAGAAAAAAGCAACTATTACAATTACTTCTCTGCAGGAGAATACCAGCTGTTGTATGAAAGAAAATCCATTAGGACTTTGGCCCCTGATCCTGGCAACTAGAACCCACGGGACTTGCTGGTAGTGTCCTTTGTGATTCATTATGAGCCACTTTCCACCATACCTGGCTTTATGGTTCTTTCAGGTCTGCTGTCCTCCACCACAACCTCCAACACTGTAATACAATACTATTTATTTTCAAGATACATAAAGAAATATTTCATATTATATTCAAAATATTAGGAAAAAAGAAGTAGGAGAATATATACAATCAGTGGGGCAAATGTGATAATTGTTGAAATGTGGGAATAAGTGAGGAGTCATTATACTAATTTTTCTACTTTTGAGATGTTTACAAAATTTCATAAATTTTAAGAAAAAGTGCAATATCTAAGTATATATTACAGCACAAGTGAGGCAGGGCTGATGGCAAAGCATGAAGTGCTTGTAAGCCTGGAAGGAGGACTCTGGCCCCAGAAGCATGAGCTGAAGCCCACAGGGTGGGCATGGTGGGGAGGCTCGTGAGACTGCGCAAGAGATGTGGTTGTGCAACTGGAATGCAGTGGTGCTATAGTTCAGATGTTGAATGTCCCTGAAGGTCCATGTGTTAAAGGCTTAGTCCTCAGGGTGATGCTTTTGGGAGATGGTGGAGCCTTTAGGAGGTGGGGCTTAAGGAGAGTCCTTAGGTCATTGGAGGTATGAATGGGTTTATGGGATTTTAGGAGCCCCATCCTTTTTCCTTTCTTTTGTGATGGGGACCACTATAAAGCAGCCCTGAGGATTTAAATTAACCAATTGGATTTTTATATTTACTTGTGAATCTGTCCAAAGCCTAGGCTGCTTTTCTGGAAGTGAACAATGGACTCATAGTAAGTGAACCTCTGTGAGTCACTAATCCCTACGAAAACCTGTAATGTCCAATGAAGCTGGAAAGACTCAAAGAATAAGACAGGATCACAGCCAAGGACACCTGGATCTGATCTCAACTAGATAAAGACTAAAGCCTCAGGCATCACACTCCTGGATGGATTGACTTAATCCTTATTAAAGATTAATCTAATACCTTACTTGGAGAAGTCCTTGAGTAATTCCACCCTTCTTGAATACTCACCTCCCTTCTTCTGATAACCAAATAAATACAGGCCACCCAGAGAAGGTCTTGGTCTTAGCCCTGAGAGGATCTCGAATTCTATAAGAGGGTTTTGATCTTCCTGGAGCCCTGAAATCATTCCATTTGCCTCTTTTTATTTAGCCTTCACTATACACTCAATCAGGAGATTGTAGACCTGATCAGCCCACAATAACTAAGGGATATTATTCATCTGATACTTTCACTTTCTGAACACGAGGTAAGCAGCTGGCTCTGCCATAATTCCCCCCATTGCTATCTAGCACCCCCCCACCATAAGTCAAAGCAGTAGGACCAACTGATCACAGAATGGAATGTCAAAAACTATGAGCCAAAATAAACCTTTTTTCTTTATAAAATAATAATCTCAGGTATTTTGTTATAGTGATAGAAAGCTAAATAACACAAGTGATCAGACCTTATATCTTAAAATGCATCATACTTTACAGTAAATTACCTGTCCCTTTATTTTATAATTACAACACTAATTGGTATTTTAAAATTATGTGTGGATTATACTACTTACAGATTTTATTTGTTATTTAAAAAGGGTGTTGTGGCTGAAAGCCTTAAAATCACTGGTGTAGGTGACAGGGCATCTTTGTAACATTTTAAAGAAGATTAATGACAGGATACAAAAATTTCCTCTGATGGCAATATGGAAAACAAATCTGAGAGCAACCTGATGAGAGGTAGAAAGACAGATTAGGAAGAGACTAATGCTTTATGTGAGAAATGATAAATCTCTGAACAGTGGGGTGGAAATGAGGAAGGATAGGGCAGATTGTTATCTTGGGAAATGTAAACAGAATGGGTGCTACGTACACCCACACCACAAATGACAGGTAAGACAATGCCCAGATTTAACTGTTCTATACACCAACTATTCAAAATCTCATGTGTGCAAGGTAAATACATATGATATTATCTTTCAGTTTAAACACTGAATAAAGATTTAACAATGACAACAAAAAGGAAAAGTAGGAGAAGAGAGAACTGGTTGAGGATCTTTGGGAGATGGAATATGGAATTAAGGATAAAAGAGAATTGTCCAAGACAAGGCCTAGGCTTCAACCATTGGGAAGAGCACTGTAATCTCTTGGAGAAGAGCCAAGGAAGCCAACATTGTTGGGGATGTGTCTTTATCAAGTCTGTGATGCCTGCACATAGGGGTATTTTTGAATCATCCACAGATTGGGAGCATTCACTAGATGCCATGAGAATTCACAGAAAAGGTAAAGAGTCCACAGAAAGGAACACATAGTTTTGCATAATGTAGCTCACTACATATGTGTTGGATCATGAATGGGCACTTAAACTATGCCTTCAGTTCAGCCAGCATTTATTGAATACCATAAGGTACACTGCACTGACCTAGGCTTTGCAGGTACAAAGCTAGGAAGCAGTCCTGGTCCTCAAAATGCTTGTCACATGCTGGAATAGTGGCTCAAATGAAGGGCTGATGGAGCACAAGGAGGGAGGGGTGTCAAGGATTTGAGTAGGCAAGTAGGATGGGGAAGAAACTCCAGGTGAAGGGCATTATAGAAGCTAAGACTTGGACAGAATTGAGAGGATTGTGTAGGGATGCAGTAGTCAGCTTTTTGTTACTATAATAAATGCCTGGGGTGAATCAACTTATGAAGAAGAAAAGTTTATGTTGGTTTTGAGTTTTGAAGGTTTCAGTCCATGGCCAATTGACCCCATAGCTCCGGGCCTCTGGTGGGCAGCACATCACAGCAGGAGTGCATGGTAGAGCAAAGCAGCTCCCCTTGTGGCAGTGAGGAAGCAAAAAAGAAGGACTCCACAAGCTTGGACTTTCCAACAACCTCCAGGCTGTGGGCTGGATACTGTGACTAAGTCCTGTACAGTCAACAACTGCAGGGGATGAAGTCATAGGAGGAAAGAGAAGTCAGCGCCCAAGTGGGGAACACATGACATTTCTGAACACATGGGAAGGAGAGACAGATTTGCTTAGGTCCCTACTCAGTTTCTGAAGAAAGGCCCTGAGGAGCTCCCCAGAGCCGTGTTACCCCTCAGGAGGGTCCCCGGGCTCTGAAGGACCCTCGGGTGTCACACTCCTGGGTGGATTGACTTAATCCTTATTAAAGATTAACCTAATACCTTACTTGGAGAAGTCCTTGAGTAATTCCGCCCTTCTTGAATCCTCCCCTCCCTGGTTTCTCCTCCTCTTCCCTGGCTTGCACCCAGCAAATGCCTACCAATTGCAGGTGGTCAGACTAAGCCCTGCTCTGCAGAAGGAATGTATAAAAACTGCTCTGAGAATGGAAGCCCTTCCCCCAGCGCCGAGCAGCAGCTCTCCTGCCCTGAGTCCCTGCGGGCGCCCAAGAGCAGATGTTGGCGGGAGTGGGCGGAGAGCAGGAAAGCGGGTGTCAGGAGGTGGCGGCTGGCCTGAGGGCAGCTGGGAGGAGCAGCGGGAAGTGGAAAGATTTGGAGAACGAAGCCATGACACTTTGCCTCCCCCTTTGCGTCTATTTCCCAAGCTCCCCCGTGTGGCCTTCACGTGAAAGTGAGAAAGCTTCCAATTCAGATATTAAAATACCAGGTTTTTCTGGAAGAGGACTGCTTCCTCCCGGGGGTGCACAGTCAGCCCTTCCCTCGGGAGGCTGGGTAGGGTGCAAAGCGACCGGACCCACTCGGCTGCCTCAGCCACAGGAAGATCCTTCCTTCTCCTTGGCTGAGCAGGAGGCAAAGAGGGCTGATTCCACTGTGCGTTATTTACAAGCCCAGGACAGCTTGGCTCTCCGAGGTGGCGAGTACCAGCCACACAAGAGCGGCTCCTCCTCTGAGCCTGAGCCGCGGCCCGAGGTGGCCGTGTCACTGATATACCTGGGTTGTGCGTCACTCTTTACAAAGCACTTTTACACAGATGACCTCATCTACGCCACACAGTCACCTTGCAAGGTAAATATTATTAAGTCCCTGCTTCATTAAAGGAGTCTCAGAGAGGTTAAAGGGACTTTCTAAATATCACCCCGCTAGGAAATTTGTATGTGGCTGCTTAAGTATCTCCTTAGTCCTCCTAGGCAGGGTGGTCGAGACATTACTTTAATCCAGTGTGTGTGTGTGTGTGTGTGTGTGTGTGTGTGTGTGTGTGTGTATGTATGTGTGTATGTGTTCGTTGCTGGGAATTGAATTGCTAAGAACTTTACCCCTGAGCTATACCTCAGCCCAATCAATGTTTGAAAAATCCATTTAAAACTGACACACCTTCTGTATCTTTCATCTTCCATAACACACTGAATTAGGTCTGCTAGAAGTGATCTTTTCAAGAAGCATTTTAAGCGCCACAAACCAATGCAGTGTGCAGCCCCACCCCTGAAAAACAGGGCTCTGGTCTGATGCTTGGGTGTGGCACCAGTTAATGCTCACATTTAATATAATTCTTTTTACAAGAATCTGATGTGGTCACTAAAACTTGCGAGCCATGAAATATTTACTTTTATTAGGTTTCCCTGCCGGGTTGCAATTCTGTTTCCCTGGTAGAGCCCTCAGGGCCAGGCAGCTAAGGACGAACTGGATGAACAATTATGCAGAGCAGCAGAAGGGCAGGCTCAGGTTCTGTTCGCCATCAGGAAGACAAATCACAAACAAAGGACAGAATAATTTTGATTGTTCATTCATTTTAAGCTACTGAACAACTGTGCACAGAGGGCCTACCATGTGTGGCCATCTGCTAGGTAGAGGTTATGGAAGGGAGTTGCAAAGAAAGGCAAGCAAGCCTTGCCGTTGGGTGTTAACCTAGAGCTGTAGCAAACTGTACTGATCCCCCTCCCCAAGAACAAATGGTGGCAGACCAGTGAGTTCAAGTCCCATCTTTGCCAGTAGCCTTGGGACAATCACTTACCCACAGTGGGCCTTGTTATTTTATCTTGAATTCACAGTTGTAAAGAGAAAATGAGATAATAAACACTTATGATAATGTTTGTATGTTTATCAGTTTTCTGTGGCTGTGATAAAATTTAAAAAGAAGAAAGGTGTGTTTGGGCTCATGGTTTTGGAGTTTCAGTCTATGACCACTTGGTCCTATCGTTTTGGGGTTCTGGCAAGGAAAAACACACTAGAGGAGCAAAGATACTCACTTCCTAACATTCAAGGGGCACAGAGAGTGAGAGAGAGCCCACAAGAAAAGGGGCCAGAGGCAGACTATACCCTTCAAAGTCACCCTCAATGACCTAGTTCCTGCCACCTTTTAAAGTTTCCACTGCTTCCCAATATCCCATTCAGCTAGGAAGCAAATAATAGCTTAATCCATTAGTGATGTTAGTGCTCTTGTAATTCAATCACTTCTCAAAGGCCTCAACTCTGAAAACTGCTGAACCACCAAGACTTGGTTCAGGAACCAAGTCTTCAACACATGGGTTTGCAGGGGGAATATTCTAAATCTAAAGTATAATAGCTGGGCATATAGTAAGAGCTGCCTGTTAACTATTATCCTACCAGCAGTGAGACAGATGGGAAATTAAAAAACAACTAATACAGTATCTGGATGTTGTGATAACAGATGTAAAAGAAATTTAAAAGGATGTGAAACAGGAAATCACAAAGGTGGAGAGGTAGGCAAAAGGAGATGCTTCCAGTCCAAGTAGTCAAGGAATGACTCACCGATTGGCTACAGAGCTGAGACACACTGGGTGGAAGCAGTGCAAAGGGTTGCAGAAAGGAGCAGCCCAGGTAGAAGGAAGATTTTGTAAGCACCAAGGTGTAACAGAAGCATGGTTTCTTGAAAGAACCAAAGGAAAGACAAAGAGCTTGAGTTAGGAGAAGGTTGGAGAGATAGGCTGGGGTATTTCCTGTGGGGCATGTCAGCCATGGCATTGTGTTTGGATTTTATGCTAAATGTAGTAGGTTGCAGGGTTTTACCCAAGGGACTGCTGTGATCCAATTTGCATTTTATGAAGCTTACTCTGGAGAACAGATCATTGGGAGGTAAGAGAAGATATTGTTAAAGATGTGTAGGGAGAGGTAATGGTGATCTGGAGCATGTGGTAGCAGTGAGCTATAGCCCGCTGCTGTGGTTTGGATCTGAAATGTTCCTCAAAGGCCCATGTATTAAAAGCTTGGCCCCTGGCCTGTGGCACTATTGAGAGATGGTGGAACTAAGGAAGTTGGAGGGGGCTCTTTAGAGGAAGTTAGGTCACTCAGGGATGTTCTTTAAAGGGGATATTGGAACTTTGGCTCTTTTCTCTTTCACTTCCTGGCCATCATGAGGAGAGCGACTTCCTCTACCTTACGCTTCTGCCATAATGTACTGTACTACAACATGCCAAACCATGGATTGAACCCTCCAAAACCTTGAGCCAAAATAACCTTTTCTCCTCATGGATTGCTTATCTCAGGCATTTTGTCATAGTGACACAAGCTGACTAACACAGCAGCATTCAGATGGGAGATCTATCTTGAAGGTAGAGTGGATAGAACTTGCTGAAGGTGGGGGATCTGCTATTGTTGGCAAGGCACTTGGCAGGCAGAAAGCTGCCCCACAATGAGCCTTGCTGATGCAGGGTAGGGCACCTTCCTGTGGGGAGATGAGGACTGATTGCAACCTTCTTCCTCTCATGTGGCTCTGATGTTAAGTGCAAGTGAGCTAAAGATAGCCCAGCCTTAGGCTTTCAATGGATGCCCCCACTTTGTTTTACCCAAAGCCTCACATTCCCCAGGGGTTGGCTCAGACCAGACCTTATGAATGATTTTGCTCCATGGAAGAACAGACAACAGCAGCCAACAAAGATTTGTCTGCATTTTCCCAGGGAAATAAGACCACAGTTACATAGGCCCATGGTGGACAAGATAAACTCACACACACACAGAGAATGAGGACTTGTGGGGAAGGAGGAATCAGTAAACACTGGAACCAGACCCTGTTCCTCTCCACCCTGCTTGTTCCTTGGGTGGATTTTAGGTATTGAAGGGTAGGTTCTGTACTTTCTCTGAAAAGAAAATTCTTAAGGAATCCAGGAAGCAAGCAGCCTCCTACCCACTCCTGCTTCAGTAATTTCGGGGAGAAAAAGAACTTTTATTTATTGACCAAACATGTTAAGACTGACTAAATACTAAAGCAAGCATAAGGCTTGCTCAAATCAATGAAATCAATGGTACTACTAGAGGCTGACCCTAAAGTCACAGTTGCTGCCCCGGCTTCCTGGCTTCTAAATCTCAACAGTCCCCCGTGGTATCAGGTGGTAAAGGAAGGGTGTGGTTAGCATTTACTGATTTTATCGAAAATCTCTCAATAAAATGACACTAGCATTATAAAGCATAATGGGCCGGGCGTGATGGCACATACCTGTAATCCCAGCACTCAGGAGGCTGAGGCAGGAGGATCATTGAATGTTCGAGGCCAGCCTGGGCTACAAAGTGAGCTCAAGGATAGCCTGAACTGCAAAGTGAGACCCTGTCTCAAAAGGACAAACAAAACAAAACAAGCAAACAAAAAAAAACATGACTGGGGCTCATTATTCTTGTGCCATAGATGATGGCCTTGGCAAAGGAGTGAAACTCCTCCCTAGTTTCCATCTGTGCAGTCAGCTACCATAATGCAGAAGCATGAAGTGGTGTGATTAGAAGGTTCCCATTCAAAATTTGGGCTTGGGTCCTTCATGCTTCTTGTTAAAACCCTATCTAAGAAAAAGCCAATATCTATCTGATCTTTTGGGAATGGAAAGCTTGCTTAGATTCTACAGTAAATACAGGATTTCTTTCCTTGCAACTTTTGCTAAACCCAGAGAAACTTCACTAGGTCCCTCTGGAAGCAGTAGTCTTTCAGGTATGAAGTGCGTGGTGAACAATTCTAATTCCTCAGGTAGCTGTCTGCCTTGCCTCTGCTCTGGGAGGCTCTGGGAGAACATTACCTGGGTGGAATCCCTGGGCGGCGATCAACAAATTCTCGTAGCCAAATGTGGGACATTATGAATGGGAACCTGAAAAAAAAATGACAGAGTGAAATTTCATATTGTGCTATGTACATTTCCAGGCACAAGCTACTGCTGCAGTTTGGATAGGGAAGGTCCCTGTCTTAGTCACTTTGTTGTTGCTGAGACAAAATACCCAATACCCACAACTTAAAGGAGGGAGGGTTTATTTTGACTCACAGTGTATAGAGATTTCATTCCATAGGTGGCTAGCTCCAAGGGAGGGCAGCATAGTCAAAAGGTCTGGGCAGAGGACAGCTGCTCACCTCATGGAATCCAGGAAGCAGAGAGAGAAGGGCAGAGCCAGGGAAGGAGATGCACCCTCCCAGGTCACGCCCCCAGTGAACCACCTCTTCCAAACAGATCCTACCTTCTAACAGCATGTTTGGTTGTACACCCATCAGTGCACCAGTCCACAAAGAGTAGAGTGCCCTGTGCTCCACTCGCCTCCCCAAAGTCCCACCTATGATCACAGGAGGCTTTTGGATGAATCTAAATATAAAACAAACAGTCCTCAAAGGTGCATGGGTTGAAGGCTGGTCTCATTGGGAGGTGGTGGAACCTTCAGGAGGTGGCATCTAGTGGAAGGAAGTTATGTCACTAGCAGTGTGCCCCTGAAGAGGATACTGGGATGTCAGCCCCTTCTTCCTTCTCTCCTACACTTCCTGGTCACTCTGAGGCAAATAGGACTCTACCATACTGTACCACACACACGATGATGAACGGGCTCTCCACAGACCCAAAGCAACAGAGCCAATTGAAGGTTCTGAAGTCTTCAACTATAAATTGAAGACTCTGAAACTAAAACAAACCATTTTCTTTACTAAACTAATTATCTAAGGTATTTTATCACAGTAACAGAAAGCTGACTAACACAGCTATCTAGTACCACAAAGTCCATCTTGAAAGAATCACAGGGAGAAAAATGACATAGCAGAAGGACTATCCATAGTTTCCTATAAGAAAGGAAATACAAAACTAATAAAGAAGCAAACAAAAATAGAAAGTGTAAGCTAAAACAATACACATTTTTTCTCTTACCCTTCTATTTCTTATTAATTTATGTAGTACTGGAGCTTGAACCCAGGGCTTTCACACATCCCTAGCCCTTTTTATGTTTTGAGATAGAATCTCACTGAGTCACTAATTTGTACAAGCTAAGTCCTTTTCATCTTCCTACCTTAGCTTCCCAGAATGCAGCAATTACACGTGTGCACCACCAAGCCTGGCTGTGCTCTCCTTTCTCTGTGATGGCTGTAGCTCCTGCCCAGTCCTTGTTCTTGAATGGCTTATCCGAAGCTTAGTGGATGTCCTGACCTCAGATGTCCCACATCTTGTAACTTCAAGTCTCCTTGACTTGTCTGGAAGCAGTGGTTTCCTCCTCCCCCGCTAGCATGGGGGAGGATGATCCCAGCAGCAGCCCTCACCCATTTTGCAGTTCTGTACAGACAGTGACATTGCATGTCCTTGGTGATGCTGTTAGCCAGTGTACTACCTATGTGACCTTGCTGGACTTCAGCCCCACCCGAATCTTGTGTATTGTTGAGGACAGGAGGTGAGCTGCCTTAGACTGGCTGGACCTAAGATTGCTCATGCCTTTTACCTATTTATTTATTTTTCTTCTAAAAAAACAAAAAGTACTGCCCTGGAATGTCAGTTGGGTGCCATCTCCTTGCTCACCTCTTAGAGAACTTTCTTTTTTTTTTTTTTTTTTTTTTGGTTTTTTTTTCCCGTACCGGGAACCGAACTCACGACCTTGTGCTTGCCAGGCAGGCGCTTTGCCGCTGAGCTAAATCCCCAGCCCCTTAGAGAACTTTCTTACTGCATAAGTTTGCAAGGTGAACACCACATTCCCCGGAGTCTTTCCACAGCTGGGAAACAAATCTGGACATGTGTTAGAGACCTTCTGTCTGATGTGCTAACATGAGAATTAGGAGGAGACAAGGCAGAGGCAACTTTCTGCTGCTTTGACCTTTCCTACTGGCGAGCCAGGTAATGAAGATGCGGTGGGTTTTGACAACAGAACTCCAGTACCCAGTCTGCAGCTCTGGGGATGGCAAGATGCAATTGCTGTCTCAGGGTTCAGCTGCCAGCTTCATGTGTGGAGAGGGAGCTGCTGCCCCAGTGGTGGTGATACTCAGAGTGGAATCCTGAACCTCATTATCCTGGGGGCAGCTTCCTAATTTTTGTGGATTTGTTCCAGAAACTGTCTGGAAACTCCACTCTGCCTGCCCTATGATTTTGTAACCCCTCATTCTGTATATTAAGCCTTCCTGTACTCACCTCAGACTTCAAATGAATACTTTCTCCTTGTAAAATTTTTCATATTACATCAGATTACTGACTGGAGAATATGGGTTGGCACAAGCAAACTACTGCATTTAAATATTCAAGGGAGAAAGAGGTTATATGGGGAGGAGAGCCCAGCGGCTGGGAGACAGAGGAGAAAGCTCTATTCTTTGTAGGGTACTTTTGTGTCCTTTATGAATCTTTCACTCTGTGCACACATTATGTACTCTCTCTATAAAGACAGCTGAGCCTCTGATTTGAATAAACACGGCAACTTGTGGCAGAAGAACTGTGGGCTGAGTCCTTGGGGCCTGCAGCAGGTCATTTCCGTGCTCTGTATATTGATTACCATGCCTCTCTGGAGGGTTGAAAGAACCAATCATGTGCGTGAGAGAGCTCGGTAACCTTAAAAGCGCCTTAGAGAAAGGAGAAATATGAGTTTCTATTTATGAACTTTTATTACATGTTAGGTAGTGTGCATTAACTCGCATTTGCCTCCCAGCAACCTTGTAAATATTGTCCTTCTTTTACCCACAAGTAAACAGGTACTAAGAAGTAAAGTAACTCGCACAAGGTTATAGGGAAAGCAGGACTGGAATCTTCTGGCTCCAGAGACATTCATCTTAAATACTGTGTTATGTCAAAACGATCCAGAGCGCAGTTACCACCAAGCAAAACAAAACAAGACTATTCAAAAGAAGCCAGAGAAAAGAGATGTAACCAAGGGGAGAAAGGATTGAAAATAAAGCATTTGTGCCTCTCTATCTTCCATTTTCTTTTTGTGTCGGTCAGATTTTCACTGCTGGGACCAAACACCTGAGAAAAACAATTTGAGCTGGGAAAGATTTAATTTGCTCTCCCGCCCCCGGTTGAATTTGGCTGCTGGTTTCAGAGGTCTTGTTAGTGGCTGGCTGGCTCCAAAGGCAGAAACACCAGTGCAGAAGTGCATGGTGGAGAAAAGCTGCTTGTCTCATGGAAGCCAGGATGCAGAGTGAGAGAGAAAGGGCCAGGGAGGGAGGAAGGGGCTGAGGACAGAGGCCTCAGTGACCTACGTCCTCTACCCGGGCCCCAGCTCCTATAACCCAACCGGCTGTGAACTCGTCATTGGCTGTAGTGTACCTCATTGGTCTCTTGTAACCCTTAGAGAAAGGGTGGTGGGTATGAGAAAAATAAAGACAAGAGACAAGAGCTGGGGTCAGGTGGAGTTACCTCTTGCCTGATGAGCAGGAGGACTGATTTCAACAGTAGGGGTGTTTATTTTACACACTTGCAAAGTTAGTATCATGGGGGGGGGGTAATGTTGCCTAGCAACTAACGACTGTAATTGTCCAGCAGGCTGCCTTTTTTAATACTGAGGTAGCTTGACTGCTTGACCTATAACCAATAACAATTGGCCAGTCTACTCTGGAGGTGAACAGCCTCACAGTCTAATAACCTCTCCAGGCATCTCTTAACCCAACCAAGTTGACAATCAAGATTAAGATCATAATGGTCAAAGCTGAATTCACTGCCCACAGGCTATCTCGCTCTTTATTTCACCTCTGAGTATGTTTTTCAAAGCAACTTGTAAATTTTCAACAGCAATAATTATAACAAAATAGTGGACTACCCAGAGATACCTACTCATTAGATAATGTATTTTTTTCAAAAGGTCTTGCTTAAAAATTTCTTCTTAACACATATTAATTGTAGATATTAGTGCGGTTCAGTGTGATACACTGATTAAATTCAACTTCTCTTTTCCACACTTGTCACCTTTTCCAGCCTCTAGTGATTACTATTCTATGTTCAGGCTGGCTGTTTTCAGCTTCTATGTCTGAGAGAACATATGGTACTTGTCTTCTTTTATGTTATTTCATTTAACTTAATATCCTCCAGTTCTATCTGTTTGCTGCAAATGACAGTCCTTGCAAGAGTCCTGCAAGTTGTGAATTATTACCCTTTGTTTGTAGAAAATGGTAAATTATATGCTTAAGGTGATCGCCAACTCTGACTCCCAAGCTCAAGATCCTTCCACTGCAGTAGAACTGATTTATTGATCAACTAACTTTTCCTCATGCTGCTAGGCACTAGGGGAAAAGCAGAGATATGTGACTTCACTATCGAGTTGCTTGCAGTCTGGTGGAGAAGATGAAGAGACACACTAATCATAGAATTGCACAAGTCAATACCAAATCTAAGCAAGTTACCTTTCAGACTTTTGGGTGGGCAAGCATCCCCTCTCCTCTTTTACGGTTGTAAAGAGAAAGATTCTAGGAATAGGCAAATTGCCTTTGTTCAGAAGGCCTGGACATTTTCTCTAACCCAGTGCATCTGAGAAGCTTTCCTAACAAATGGTATTGGAAAAATCTTACACATGCAGAAGCTTGAAGCTAAACCCCTATATCTCACCAGGTAGTAGAGTAAAAGCAAAATGGATCAAAGGTCTAAATATTAAAACAGAAACACTTAATCTGCTGGAAGATAAAGTAGGTAAAAGTCTTGAAGTTATAGGCATAGGCAAGGAATTTCTGAACAGAACCCTGTTTGCACAAGAAAGAATACCAGGAATCAACAAATGGGATCCTATCAAATTAAAAAGCTTCTGTACAGCAAAGGAAACAACCAACAGAGCAAAGAGACAACCTACAGCGTGGAAAAGATTTTTTGCTAGCTATTTCTCAGACAGAGAACTAATAGCTAGCATATACAAAGAACTCAAAAAAATTAGACCCTCCCCCCAAATAAAAGACCTAATAAAAAATGGGAAACTGAAATGAATAGACACTTCTTAGAAGTACAAGTGGTCAATAAATACATGAAAAATGTTCAACATCTCTGGTCATTAAAGAAATGCAAATTAAAACAACACTGAGATTCTACTCTATGCCAGAAAGAATGGCTATCATCAGTGTATTAGTTTTCATTACTGTAATGGAATGCCTGAGGTTAGATGATTGTATAAAGAAAAGATGTTTATTTAGCTCAAGTGCCAGAGGGCTAAAGGGCATGGCACCAACATCTGCTTGGCTCTGGTGAAGGGCTCATAGCAGATAGTACCAAATGGCAGGACCATGTACAAGAGGGAGCAATCACATGGCGAGACAGGAGGTTGGAGCACTGGGTGGGGCCAGACTTACGCTCCTTTTTTTAAGGTAAGAGCTGTCTTGGAAGATTGAACTCAGGGGTCCCATGAGAGTACCTTAATCTCTTCAGAGAGCAGTCATTAGTGACCTCAGGACCTTCCTCACCTCTCAGTGCTTCCACACCACCTCTCGACACTGCCAACCTGGAGAGTAGGCTTCTGACCCTGAGCCCTTGGGGGACAAACCACGTCCACACCGTCACAGAGAGGGAGTGGCATTTTAACGGCATCCATTGATTTTCTGGATTCATTTTATAGCTCCCTATTTCACCAAAAGTGTTTCATCAGTGCTCATGGACTGGGGAAAGTTCAGCTCCCAGGAAGCCCATGACCTCGTGATGTTCAGGTGCAGAGAAGGCACGGGGAGGGCTGAGGAGCAGGGCATCTCAGTAGGGGCCTGACCCAGCCTGCGTAGGAGCTGGACTGCAGCTTCCCTCTTTGCCTGTGGAACTGCTCTGTAGCTGGGGCTCTGCTCTAAGCTGCCTCTGTGCACCCATGTGGTGAAACGATGCTTACAAGTGTCTAGGTGTCCAGTAACTAGGTTACTTTGACAGAGTGCTGTTGTTTTCCCGGGACGTTAGTCTTGCCAACTGAGTATGGTTGCCCCCTGAGTCCCCAGTTCTCCAGTCTAGCTGGGAATTGTGCTGCCTGGAAGCACTTTCCTTCCTCCCTCTCTAGTCTAAATGCCACCTTTCTAAACTCTCCTCTCCTCAGGGCCTTATTCATGTCCCATAAAAGTGCTCTACAAGGCCTCAGCTCTGAGTTCCCAGTGTGACATTGCCCATCTCTGATGTCCCAGAGCCCTTGATAAATTCTATAATGCATTTGCCTTGGAGTCCTTTTCTCTTTGATATATTGATTTCTGTGTTCATTGATTTATGCTAACAGGAGAATATTTCAACTTCTGCCAAGCTTTGGATAAGGCGCCAGAGGTTCTTCAAAAAAACATCTGTCTTGTACACCATCCTGCCTCTTCAGGCAATATTAAGCCCTATAAATTGGGGACCATATTATTTTGCAGCTATTCTCTCTGTCCTTGTGTCCTTTTCTTATCTCATCATCTTGCAAAGTGTTCCCTGTCCTAGAAGTGCTTGATGCATACTTCAGAAAGAAAGAGGACACGAAAGAATCAAGTCTACTTAGTTCCCTGGTCATCTAGTGAACAGTGAAAAAACTTTGGTGTTCATGTGTCATAGAGAGCCAGATACCTTATACATAACCCACCTCTTTAAAAATAAATACGTAAACATGTTGAGGTAAAACCATTAAAGTGGGTAAGGTTACCTGTTCTGTTTCTAAAATAATTCTTGGCTTTACAACAATGTTTGCCATAGTTTCTTCAAGTTGTGAGCTCCTGTCTCTAGAACATTCGAAAATTAAATTCTGCCAGTTAAGTGTGAGGCAAGAGAGACACCGGCAGTGACGATCACACCAGAGTTACCTTCTTGGGCTGCAGTGGGTGGGACCTCTGTTTCCCGCAGTCTTTTGCAGGTAGCAGTTATTTCAGGCTCCTCCTGCTGTTGGGTGTATTGCAAAGGCACACCGCAGAGATGTAGGTCCTGATGCCTTTACATCATTCAAAGGGGATTGTGATGCACTGTGGGTTAGCAAGTTTTGCTCAGCAATGCTTTTCAGGGCTCAGGCCTATAAAAAGTAGAAAATGTTTTAGGTCTGTATGGAGAGCCTGCACACTGAAAGAAAGGTGATAACTAGTGTAAATGGGAAAATCACACTGGCAAATAACGAAGACTATTCATCAGAACTTTCTCTTCTATAAAGACTACATAAGGTCAAGGGCCTGGGTGGTGCCTTAGAGGCTAGTACTGCCCTTTGCATGCTAGAAATGAGGAAGTAGAGTTGGCACAGGACAAATCTAGCTTTGTCTGGTTCCAGACCAGATGAAGTTCCATCTTGCTGCTACTGAGGCCTCAAAGGAGGATTTTAATTGTTCAAAAATGTAATTCAAGTCTGTCTATAAAGCATCAAAATAGCACTGCTAGATAGTACAAGTCACAAGCTGGGAAAGAAGAATGCAAAACGCATTCATTCAGACAACACATATCAAAGCACGGACAAATTCTGGGAATGTAGTTCAGTGGTAGAGTGCTTGCCCAGCATGCTTTGGGTGTATTCCCCGGTGCTGAGAGGAAAAAAAAGCACTATTTACAATATGCTTGCCTTGTGATAGGACACCTCCTATATAAATAAGTTTGTAAGGAAGTAATAAAGTATTTCCATAAAATTCCCGATGACACTTAGGAGAGACCAGCATTGAGCTGGGGAGTGTAACGTACACGAGGAGATACAAAATAATTTAATACCAGTGTCTTGGTGCCACTGCATTTTGTTGAAAACACACAGCCTGGGGCACATTTTAATATAAGAACAGGAGCACCATGCTGGGCCCGCATAAATAGAAGTGGTAAATTGGGACCCAGGCGTGGTGGCACGTGTGTGTCATCCCAGCGACAGCATTCAGAAGACCGAGGCAGGAAGATGGAGAGTTTGAAGTCAGCCCAGGCAATTTAGGGAGACTGTATCTTAAGACAAATCAGAAAGGATTGGAGACGTAGATCGGTGGTAGAGTTCTTGACTAGCATGTGTGAAGCCCTAGTGCGATCCCCGGTACAACCAACCAGACAAAACAAAACAACAACAAACAAACAAAAAGCCTCCTTTGTTGAGTAAATGTCTTCAGCATTCCAGGCATTGTTTTAGTTTTAGCTATTTGGCAGCTATGATCTCTGTCGCCACTGTGACGCTGGAAGCAAGGATCGCCATTTGAAATAAAGGCAAAGAGAAACTAAGGAACTTGACTAAAATCACCAAACCCTGGGTAATGAACCTAGGGCTTGAATCCAACTCTGTTTAACACTGAATCCCAGGGTGAATTACATTTCAATTAAAATATATTAATTTTTCATTTTAAGAATAATAACCCATATTATTCATGAAGAAACAAACACCCCTGGCCCCTGTTTTTCATATGAAAATATAACTGAAAATACAAAAAAAAAAAAGGTATAAAGAAGAAATGAAAACTAATCTCACTAGTCAGATATTATTGTTTCCTGTGCATAACTAGCGAGTCTGTTTAGATGTCCTAGAAATGTAAGCAGATTGACATTAAGAATGAGAAAACTTTATAGACATAAATCTTTTTTAGAAAACTGTGATTGTACTATGTATGTCACATATTTAAAATACAAAAATAGTGGCCAGGCATGGTGGCACATGCTTGTAAACCCAGCCCTCGGGAGGCTGAGGCAGGAGGATTTCTGTGAGTTCAAGGCCAGCCTGGGATACAAAGTGAGTTTAAGACCAGCCTGAATTGCACAGTGAAACCCTGTCTCAAAAAGAAAAGAAAAGAAAACAAAACAAAAATATAAATAAATCTTAAAGTATTTTACTGAAGAGTCAATCTAAAACTTACAGTGATTTAGCTACACAGCATGAGGTTGTGTTCTGGCCATCAGAAGTTTCTCTAAACAGTAGGGGCTGCTTTGGCATAACGATGCTCACTGACATAAATTTTTCAAGCTTGCGCCAAGCTTGTGACCTTTAATACGTAGTTCTTCCTTCTCTTCAGCTTTAGAATATGCTCTAAATCTGCCTCCTGGGTTTTATAAAAGCAAGCTAATGCTTCCTTAGAGGAGTATTAATGGAACTGTCCCATGAAATGTGTTCATAAACCTTTCATTCTATCATTCCATCATGTCATATTGTCACTTGACATTCAAAAGGCAAAATATGGCCAGCTTATCCTGACCAGCATCCCAGGAGGCAATTGTCACTTTTTCTTATTCAGATTCTCAAGTTTGGAAGCACCATCATTACTAACTCTTCTCCAGGATCCACTGATAATTCACTCTTCAAGGATTACCTCTTCACTTAATGTCACGTCTTTCTTTTCTGATGATGTCAGAGAGCTGAGACACCATCCTCATCTACATAGAACCTCTATTCTTTTAATTCAGGCAAGACAGGGAAACATAAGAACATTACAGTAATGTGGAACCCTTCAGTCCTGAGATACTATCATGAATATTTGTGTTAGTTAAGTATATCACAGTGATTACTAGGGGAGGATGTCATGGTATCTAGTAGTCAGAATCCATTCTGGGGTGGAGTAGCGATGCTGAGTATTCTCATCCACCCTCCCGAAACACCCGCTTTAGCTGGCCTCTTTGAGCACAAATCCAGTCCTCCGTGGTCCCCTGCCTGCCATTCCTCCGCCTGGTTCCCTTGCTGGCTGCTCAATCTCTCCAGTCCAAAGATGGCTTTCAAACAGATGAATACTTCTAGGGATTCCCTATGGATGACAACTCAGTGGCCAGCCCTTCAAAGCTGAGCTGTGTGCACATCTACTTAGAGTGTGTGTGCTGGATAACTACCAATTATCCTTGTCCCAAGAACACCAGTGTCCAAGGTTTAAACTTTCACATGCAAGCAGCCTACATCCACTGCCTTGTTAATCTGAGGACAGCTCCACCTCCTTGCTTAGGTCATCCCAGCTTTAAAGTTTCCTGTGGAATCAACTGGCTGAGACAAGGCCATTGCTGCTTTGGGTTTGGTTTTGCTCTCTAGTCAGTCCTGTTTCCCTTCCTTCCATGATGGAGATCACGTCTGAGCCTGTTGCTCCCCAAGAAACCACCCCCAAGCAAATCTGTCTCAGAATCTGTTCTTCAGTGAAACCAATTTGAAAGAGTTGGCTATAGAGGTGACTTGAGGAAGCAGACTCTGCACTGGAGTTTGAAGTTCCATTCCCCTTTGGCAGGCTACCAGTGAGGTCCTCACCACTCTTGGAGGGTAGAGTAGCAGTAGCTCCTGGCATTTGGTTGTGGAGCAACTGTAGGTTTTTTTTGTTAGTTTTGCAGGGCTGGTGAAGTGTAACCAAGGCTTCTTGCATGTTAGAACAGTGTTCTACCACTGAGATAATCCCCAGGTCCTGGAACAGTTGGCAAAAGCTTCTCCTTGGTACAAAAGGAAAGAAGACCAGTGGAGGGGAAGGACTGGCTGGTGTAGTTCCTCAGGCATTGGAGAGGTTGAAGGAATCATAATTTTTTTTTTTTTTTGCAATAGCTGAGATTGAACCCAGGGCCTTCATACTGAGATACCTCCCCAGTCCTCTCTTACTTTTTATTTTGAGGCAAGGTCTTGCTAAATTTCCCAGGCTGGACTCAAACTTTCAATCCTCCTGCCTCAGCCTCCTGGAATGCTGAGATTTCAGGTTGGTCCTCCACTCCAAGCTAAGAAGAAGAAATGAGAAAAATGAAGCCAAAGGGCTCCTGGTGAGTACACTTGGTATAAGATGGTGAACAAATCATTACAAAAAATATGAAAGCTGAGGACTTTTTCAGCAGAGAGAGACACTCATTTCCTGGAGTAGGAGGGCAGAAAAAGACAAGAATTAAACTCAAATCTTAAATATAAGAATAGTGGAGCTCAGCAAAAGACTCAGCAAATCTCCTAGGTCAATGTCAGGGCCATGGTCAGAAAAGAGTGCCAACCTCATCTCAAGATGAGGAGAGAGAGTGGTCAGGGCACTTGGGAGGTAGAAAACTCAGATTCATCCTAATTCTCTGGTTCTGCAGCAGTGGCCATTCCTCTCACCGGGGCCACCACTTCTCTCTTGCTTGATGGGTTGAGGACAATATTGAGGCCACCACCTATGCCCGCTTCAGAACCCAGTCCTGGCTCTCCTTCTGGCCACCAAGCAACAATGAGACCAAGTAACAGCACATACTGCTGGGAAAATCCTGGACCTTCTCAGAGAGGAGAGAAATTATGAGTGAACCGAACATAACCTGGATTCCAGTCAAAAGGAAAGATTAGACTCCCTCAAATATTCTACAAAATAACTGGCCTGGACTCTTAAAAATAGTCAACAACGAAAAGAAAGGCTGAGCAAGTCTTCTAGATTAAAAGAGACTAAAGAGATATGAAAAATGAAAGGAATACATGAGGGATGGAGTCCTGGTGCAGACTGTGAAAACCCTCTGTTATGGTTTGTATCTAGATGTCCCCTCAAAGCCTCACGTATTCATAGGGCTTTTTCAGAGGTGGCTGAATCTAGAGTGTGTGATGCTGGGATAAGGGTGTGTGATTAGTAAATTATTTCATTGATTGGTTTGGCATAGTTCTGGCTAACATTAAGGGTGTAAGTGCTACTATACATGCCCTAGGGCAGGTAGCCTGTGTATAGTACAAGGGACAGAAAGAGTCTTGTCTCTTCCCTTGTTGCTTTTGCTATCTAGTGGGTGCCATGAACTGTTTTTCTCTGTGATGGCCCTCTGTCAAGCTATCCTGCCTTAGAATCAGCCAGTTATGGGCTGAAACCTCAGCAAACTGTGAGCCAAACAAACCTTTCTTCCTTTAACTTTGGGTGTTGGCTATTTTGTCTTGGCAATGACAGAAAAGTAACTAAGACACCCTCTTGCACCTCCTGTAGCCTCTCTGTGGAACCGAGGGTCTATTGCCTGCTAGGAGTATCACCTGACCACAGATCATGGCCCATTCCCTTGCTCCCAA